AATTGAATTCCATCGGAATTTATTTTTGACAAGATTGCTTTTATTTTCGTTATTTTCGATAATGGAACTAAGAAATAAGGAAAATAATTAAAAATAATAAAACGAGAAGGAAACCCACGAYTATCTGATAATTAACTAATTTTTACTTGGTTATTCGYGAGGGGTGCGCCACATTGTTCCAATCCGGGTGTTGTGAGTGAGTGTGGGATGGATGCCTGGCGCGGGATTACCACCGGTGCTATTTTGACTGGGCTTCATTGCTTAGGTGTTACCGCTGGGTCGATTCGGACACGGTACTCCGGTTCGGAACAGGCTCGGTATTATTACAACGCATTGTTGCACGGTACGACACCCGACACCGAGCGGTATGATAATAGTGCAGGCGGCGGTGCGGCAAATCAGAGCGTTTCTTCGGAACCGGCATTGGAACGCTTGCTGGAACGGAACTGGTATGAAACTATTATCGCGATGGCATTGGCATGGGCGCTAATGCAGATTGGCACAACTATTGGCTCGGCATCGACACAAACTGGAACAGTATTGGACTATTCGACTTTGGTATTTGATGGTYCGGCGCTCTGATTTGTTTCAGGGCTGCTGCAGTTCACARTTCGCTGCATTGATAGTGGCACAACACTGAAACAGAGTACTACAGCCTGCGCTGTTCTTTTTGGGGTTCGGAGACAGAAAAAGGTGCAGGCACGTTGCATGTGACGTTGCGCAGATTCTGGCTGCGATTCAGTACTTCGACCTTGGAATGGGCACCAGTTGGCTACTTACACAGTCCTGGGACGGCAGGCCATGGCCYRGACCTGCTGGGTTTAGAAATTGGTCACTGGTTTGCAGTTGGAACAGCTACCGCAATGGACCAGGGCGCCATGACCGGGCCTGGATTGACGAGGGCAAGAAATTCTCTGGGCCTGGTACATTGGGGCTGTAGGGACTGCGACGCGGACCGAGTGGAAGCAGGGCARTTGGCCACAGACAGTGGATATAGGGGAAGTAAACAGGTACCAAAGGGAGGGGGGGTTTTGGAAGATGCGTGCCAGGCGTACCCAGCATCCCGGAAGTTGACTGGAGACGAACAAGCAATGGGAGCAAGCACGGGCAGAATCGGCGCTCCGGCGGTTACTCCGCCCGAGCGAGGGGTGTAGGGGGACATGTTGTTGACAGGGGGAAGGGACTGCGTACCAGGCGAGCGCMGCRCGCTAGCGCATGATCCGAATGAAGGAAGGGATGGAGGTGGCGAGGTGTGTGCAGTGACAGAGCRAGCTGAACTATGGCATCCCATGGCTGCTCTTGAGGCGGTCATGGCCGGCGTGAGAACTCTCTGCCGGCATCGATCAACACGGAGGAGGCACCTATGGTGAGTATTCGTGTGAGTGTGTGAGTGAGAGAAAAGGGGGGGGACGACCGTGTGGCAACGGGAGTCAGAGCGAAAGAGAGAGTGGAGAGAGTGAGAGAGAAAAGAGTTAACAAGCAAGTGGGAGAGGTAGTGAGAGAGAGAGAAAAGAAGATAAAGTGGGAGAGTTGTGGAGAGAGTGCCGAGGATAGTACATGAGAGAGAAGAGAAGTCGAGAAGACGGTGAACGCTCGTCATTATTATTATTATTATTATTATTATTATTATTATTATTATCTTATTATTTGCATYTACCCTCAACACGGCCAGAAACGTCTCAGACGGTGGTAGTGAAAATCTGTTGTTGGGCGAGTGAAAAAGTGGATGCAAGATGGACAGTGAGAGAGAGGGTCAGTGAGAGAATGAGAGTGAGAGAGGGAAACATGYAAGAGGTGACAGTCTGCTTCTTTACTTATCAAAATCACGCACCTGACCGTGAAATGAGTCCAAGACTCCGAGTGCATTCGAATTTTGAAACCAGCGGGAAGTGAAGGGAGTGAATGAGCTATCCT